TTTTGGTGTATGATTGTATTAGAATAAATTAGGGTGATGCATGTACATAATTTGTAAATACATGGGTTTGGGATACATGCTCCAGTTTTTCTGATAGTGTGGCATGATCAGAACGGCATGGGGCACCATGACAAGGCTTCAGGCCGTATGCAGTTTTCCTGCCTGTAGGACTGTTAGGAGTATTCAGCGAGTTGACATATGATAAGGTCTTAGAACCCATACATGGTAAGCACTATTATATTTCTGTTAGCCACTGCTGTTATTTCCTGAGGCTGCTTTATACTTAATCCCTCCCCAGTGGATTTGAAATGCTTACAGATAGACATTTAGTAAAATAAGATTTTTTTTCCCCATGATGATATGAGCTGAGGAAAGAAAATAAAAGCAAGTGAAAGAGCGGAAGGGAGGGAAGGTGGGGGGGGGTGGAAATGAATGAAGGGGGATGGGAGATACAGGTTTCTATTTAAGGACTGAATAAGTCATGAGGATGAAAGGCACAGCACAGAGAATATAGGCAATCGTATTGCAGCATATGGAGACAGATGGTAGCCACGCTTCCTTGCAGCGAGCACAACATAATACAGAGTTGTTGAATTGCTTCGTTGTACACCTGAAACTAATGTAACATTGTGTGTCAACTATACTTAAATTTAAAAAAATAAAAATGCAAAACAAGGGTGAAGTCAGGAGTCAGGTTCATAAGACTTGATTCGTTTTGCTTCTCAGTGGGCAGAAAGGTTTAGGATTCCTAGCAGCCTGTACAAAGAGACACAGTCAGATACCTAATTATGATGTCTGTAAGGTAAAGACAAAAATGTGCCCATCACTAGTACTCTGCCTGGAGGTGCTTACCCCTTATGGGTCCTCGGAAGGGGAGAATTTGAACCGAAGCCCTTTGCACTTTTCACATCTTGTCTTTTCTCCACCTCAAAGGGAGACAAATTCTGCTGTTTGGGACACTTGTTTGATATGGCCTTTAGTTCCTCAACAATTCTGGACTAATGCTATAGTCATTTTAATTTTCTTCTTATTGTTCCTTTAAACTGTAACTTGATTTAGATCCATCTGAACTACTTACTGGGCCCTGGACTTAACACTGATTTTTTAAAATTCTATTTTAAGTGTACATTCAATATATCAAAGAACCTTCAATAGGCAAAGAAAAGGGTGGGTGCAGGAAAGCTGGGAAGGGAAAGGAATACAGTTTTATTGTAGTACTTTATATAGCAAAACATATAATGTCTCTTCCACTTCCTGGCTGCTTCCATGGGCCAAAGTGCCCATGACTGGCTTCTTTCCACTAGCCCCTGCCTGAGGGCTACTGTTTTTAACAAGGCAAAGTTCATGAACTGCAAAGTACTTTTTAGCCACACACACTTGGAGAACTTTTGCTTGTTGAGAGCTGTGTAAGGCAAGGGGAGTTTCAATACATATTGTGTAGGCAGTCAGAAAGGCCGGTGTTAGACCTACCACTAACCATGTGTGTGTTTGTGTGTGAGAGAGGTGGGGCGGGGGGTGGGGGGAGAGAGGGAGAGATTAGTTTTTCCCAAGTGCATTCCATATCTGTAAAGTGGGTTGATGGTTCTTAGCCTGTCCACCCCTTCTTAAGCTCTGTGGTGATCATGTATATGTCCTAACATGTTTTGAGTGTGCATTGAAGTCACGTAGCCCTTTGTGGTAGTAGGTTTGGTTAAAAGTGCCGTTACTACATAGGAATGAGAACACGCCGTCCCTGGTTAAAAGGCGTTTGCGAATGGTGTGCAGAGTCAGAAGTAGCACGGGTGAATCAGTGAGCAGGACCAAACCGAATTTAATACTAAATTGTGAGAAGCAAAGTCTAATCTCCTAGCTTGATAAAACTTGAGGTTTAATCATTTAACAGAATACTGTGAAATCACTCATTTAACAGAATACTCTGTGTTGGAAGAATGGTAGAAACCCTGTCTGAATGATAATGGCCAGTCTTAATTGACAAAAGCTGGCATCTGTACGAGTTGAAGAAATAAAATGTTAGAAGTTTTGAGTTGTTAGGGAACTTGAAAGATCCAAATCTCCAGAAAATATCAAATGTCACTTAG